CTACGGCATCTTCCTTGATGAATTTCATCTTAACATCAAGAAACTCATTAGAGAACTGAAATGAAACACACACACACACACACACACACACACACACACACACACACACACACACACACACACACACACACACACACACACACACACACACACGCACATGGATAGCGGCTCGGATTGAGGAATCGGAGAGCCGAGTTCGAATTCCAGTCAAATCCATTACATTCACTTACGTGCTAAAACTCTTGGGAAAGGTATGAATCCTCTTCTTCTCCCTCCAGCTATGGATAAATAGCAAGACAGACCGGGTTCTATAGCCCTGGATCGCAACTGGTCTACCGCAGTAAAAAATGGCGATAACTGTGGGAAAAATCTGCCGCGTCCATCATGTATCGAAAGATACATGATCGCCCAAGCGTGTATCACACGTGGTACATAACTGACTTTTAGGTAAGATGATGAACTACATCCGCGTCCTGGGTAAGACGATGAACTACGTCCAATAGTAAGAGCTCTGATCAGGAGGTTTTGAGAAGCGTGGGATCCCCTCTAAAGTGTTGGTCTTCCCAGGTACACTCTGAGCCGGAGTGGTAACACCTGTTAGGGTCCCAGCTATGGGCAAATAGTTAAGCTCCAAATTGGGGTCAAAACACTATGAAAGTGTAAAAATAGGTTTTAATACCAGAAATATTTTTTTAAGATTATTAACAGCAATACATTTTTGAAGAAAAAAAATATTAACAGCAATACATTTTTTAAGAAAAATATTGCCAGAAATAGATTTTTGAAGGAAAAAATATTACCAGCAATACATGTTTGAAAGGAAAAAATTACCAGCAATCAAAATCTTGTCGGCATTAAATAACCCAGTGAGGCTGATATGCCGTAAAACAAAACGAACGAAACCAATATATACTGAGATAGATAGATAAAAAGATAAATAACCAAATATTACTAGCAAAAAGAATCTAGTCTGCATCAAATAACCCATTGAGGTTGTTATACCGTAAAACAAACCAAACCAAACCAAAACACACTGTGGCACCCAGTCTCATACGAGTATTACCAGCAATACATTTTTGGAAAAAAAATATTACCAGCAATAAAAATCTTGTCGGCATTAAATGACCCATTGAGATTTTGATATGCCGTAAAATAAAACAAACCAAACCAAGCTATGGGGATATGAAGTGGGTGTGCTTTCCTTACATACAATAAAAAGAGCTTTGGTTACCATGATTCCTTCGTGGGCGAGTGATAAAGCGCAGCTGATCTAACGGTTCTTTTTTTTTTTCCCTACAAAGCGGTGCGCAGGTTCGATCCTTACCAAAGAACACATTTCCTTTACTATATAGGGGAACACAGATTTTTATTTATTGTTTTTTTCTGTTTACATGTCCGACATTTTTTCAGTTCTAATTTACGAAGTAGAATCTATAAGCTAAAACCTAAAAAAACTGAAATGGTTATGTTCATGATTCTCTTGTGATTTTTGCGTCCTGTGAATGCTAAATTTTCCAAACCTTCATTACTCACTAGACATCGTCAAAGATTTTTCTGTTTGTTATCAACAATTTCCTTGTAGTTCTTACTCTCCTTAATGGTTGTCACATGCTCCAAATGTCCTTGAAGGAAGGCATAACGAGACAGCGTACAGGTAACAAGAACCCTGTTTTATTTTATGGACTGGCAGCTGTTTTCTGACGTAGGCAAAAATTCAAGTTGAGCAATTATGTAACACCAACAGAGGAGGAAGTGATAAGGAACGTGTTTATCTTAGCGACAAGACTTTTTGCACAATTAAAGCTTCTATCGTCAGGCACACCCAAAAATGGATGTCTTTTAAAGGCAACACTGTTATGAGAAATAACCCAGTAAATAAAGTATGCTAATAGGGGTTAACAGTTCCAAAATCTGCGACTCGTGAAAATAATGTACAGACGAGAGTTAATGTAAAACATGTCACTGGTATGATATATTTTATGAAAATATAAAATGGTTAACAGTTTTAACAGGTAGCTGAAGTTGACAAAATGGAATAATAATAATAATAATAATAATAATGATGATGATGATGATGTTGTTTCTTCCTCTTCTTAATATATATACTTAATAGAAATCTTATCAGAATAAGAAACTTTACTTGCTCGGAAAACCTTCGGTATATTGATTTGCAAATAAACATGCCAACACCAAAGGAAAAAAAAGGTATAAAAAAAGAAAGAACCAAGAACATGTACGTTAACCGAAAATAATCAACCAGCATACGAGTTCAAGGCCCAAAGGAAAAAAAAACCGATGCGAGTATCCAAAACAACTAAATAAAGTGCTCAATACAATGAGTAGAGCAGGCCTAGTTAAACCTAAAAGCCAGACAAACCTACCAAGGTTTCACCTAAGCAGATCGTCAGCCTTCCCTGACGATCCGCTTAGGTGAAACTTTGGTAGGTTTGTCTGGCTCTCTAGGTTTAGCTATATATATATATATATATATATATATATATATATATTGAACAATAAAAAAATATTAAAAAAATAAAATCTTCAGACACACTGGGTTGTAGATTAATATTCTTTCGTTTTTTTGTATTATTATTTCATTTAGATTCCTCGACTAATTTCGACCAAAATGGCCATCATCGGGAAAAGAAATATTTCTGCTTGCTGGTAGCAGTAAACTACAGAAATGAATGTCTTGATGGAGAAAATGAACTTTTGTTTGTAGTTTTCATTTTTTTTTTTTTTTATCTTTTTAACATGAATCTTTTAACATTCCTTGTGTTGGTCAAACAGTCTCTTTTAAGTTGTTATTTGAGATAAGAGCTGGATGGATCTATGCTTCCCTGAATTCCCTTGGTCAGTTTGACAGTTTTATTGGTTCCTGGAGAGGGGATGTGTCTCTGTTTATTGTTTGTGTGTGTGTTATTTGGTTCTTAGGGAGTGAGTGAGTATGATGTGTAAGCGTGTGTATTGCTGTGGGTGTGTGTTATCATTTGGCTCATTAGGGAGTGAGTGAGTATGATGTGTGTAAGTGTGTATTTTCGTGTGGGTGTGTGTATAAGTGTGAGGCCTCAATACCTCCGAAAGCATGTCTGTCTTGTGTGGGTGAGAAATGTGGGTAGGTTTTGATTCGTTGAGTTATATATTAGTACTATCGATATTGTTAAATTTATGGTTTAGCCCGGCTGGATATTGTGTTTTTAGACGCTGTATCCACTTATTTTCAAATATATATATATATATATATATATATATATATATATATATATATATATATATAATTTATTTAACACATAATGTACATCACTTTTTGCATCAGGAAATATTAATCCATGAAGGAGATAATCTTAAAAGAAATTATGATTCAGAGAAAAATAAGTCAGAATAAGTAGAGCATTACATTGAGGTGAAAAGATTTAAATTCCGCCCAGATCGAAGGTTTTCAAAAGAATTATATCTAATTCAGTAAGTTTGAAAGATAAATAAGAACATTTTACATACCCACGCACGTCCTGCCGTCTGCGGCAATTCTGTACCCTTTATAACACTGACAAACAGCTTTAGATCGATGGTTCCTGCAAACTTGCATGCATCCGCCATTTTCCTTTAGGCAAGGGTTGATCTCTATAAGAAAAAAATAAAAATAGGTCCATTTATTAATAACAAAGCAAAAAAGCAAAACAAATACTATAATGCTGAAAATTAAACTTGAAACAATAAAAATGTCGTTCGACTGAAGAATGTTGAAAATATCGTGGACGTGATGTAGAACGGGAAAAAAGGTGACGATGGCACGTACTCTGAATCTGCCAATAAAAAATCTGGATGGGGAATTAATAAATAGTAACCACTTCAAATATCTCATTATATTTTTTTTTTTTTAAAAAAGGCAAGCAAGGCAGTAAAGACACTGAGACACAAGGAGTAACTGGGTGTAGAAGAGTTAGAAACAGAAACATTGATAATGAGCGGGAAGAGGAAAGAGTAGTCAGAAGGACAGTAGATAGCGATTGACATTGCATTTAAAATTTTGAAGATAAAGGTGACTGGAAAGCAAAAGGCCACTAAGACACAAGATCTTACTGAGTGTGGAAAAATTAGAAAAGAGAAACATTACTAAGGATTGAGAACAAAAGTAGAGTAATCATGAGGAGAGTAGATAGCGATTAACATTGCATTTAAATTTTTGAAGATTAAAGTTGACTGGAAAGCAGGTCGCCGGAAGGGTGTTTCACAAGCGATAAGTGCGCGTAAAGAAATGTTATCATAGAATTGACTGTTACATCTTGCCAATTCAGCGGTCAATTGGTGAGACCCGGTCACCACTCTAATACTGCGCTTAAATTCAAACTGTCTCGGTACCACAGCAAAGAGCTCATCCGATGAGAACATAAAAGAATATATATATATATATATATATATATATATATATATATATATATAGATAGATAGATAGATAGATAGATAGATAAATCTAGTGAGCCAGACAAACCTACCCAGGTTTCACCTAAGCGGATCATCAGGGAAAGCTGGGGGGTTTTCTTTGGGCTTCAAACCTGTATCTGTGCGATTTTTTCGACACACTTTCATGTTTCTAGCTCTTTCTTTTTTTAAAACCTTTCTTTTCCCTCTGGATTGATTTGATTATATCTATATTATTTAACGAAACAAACACACACACACACACACACACATATATATATATATATATATATATATATATCATGACCACCAGTCTCGTAACTATTAAGGTCTAGGTAGTACCACCTACATGTACTACAGCCATAGCAACAGTAGTGTGTCTTCGGCAAGACACACTAACTTCCTTCAGGCTGGTTTAAATTCATGCAACCGATTTTGAACTTACTTGGCACATACATTGTACAATATAAGAGCGTAAAAATCGATAATTTTAGCGTAAAAATCGATTTTTTAAAAATCGTATAATCGATAAAACCGACTGACTGCCAACCAAGCCTATAGTTGACTACTCTTGTCATGTAAGTGTAAAATCTTTTTTTCTTTGTCATCATCATGTGTCACCTAAGAGGCCATGAATTGGTAGACGACTACAACACTGGACTAAGCAGAATGAAAGAGAAATCACATTATACAAACAATAATTCAAATAAGTATACCTAAGCAGCTTCGTCCATCAGAACTAAGCCTGTAACCATCTTCACAAGAGCAGTGGTAGTGACCCTGGTAACCATCGACACACTTCTGATGACATCCACCATTGTTCCGGCCACAGCCATTCAGAGCTGAAAAAATTAAAGAAAAAAAAAAAAAAAAAAAGCAGATTATTATTAATAAAAGTTAAGATTTGTTTTAAATATAAATACTTTGCACAGATTCAACGGTTGTTATCTCCCTTGTTATAGAATTTAAGCTGAGTTATTATTTTTATGTCACAAACCTAACATCACCATTGAAACGGAAGCAGACCCTGCATGATTGATATTTTTAAAGCTTTATCAATCTTTTGCAGGTTATTTAAAGCCATAAGATGTTTTAAACCGTACATTTGTTTTGGAAGTAATAATTATTTACTGGTACAAGACTTACTAGTTAATCTATAGCTGGGGGGAGAAGTGGATTCATATCTTTCCAAAGGGTAAATAAATATTTATATAATTCATTTTTCATCTGTATGCATAAAACAGAGGATGTCTGTGTGTCTGTCTGCCTTTCTGTCTGTGTGATGCTTTTTGACTCGGAATCCATGCAATCGATTTTGAACTTACTTGGCACATACATTGTACAATATAAGAGCGTAAAAATCGATAATTTTAGCGTAAAAATCGATTTTTTAAAAATCGTACAATCGATAAAACCGATCAAGAATCTATAAATTCAACTTTTTTCCATTCAACTTTTTTCCTCCGATTTCGTTCAAACTCGGTATGTAGGTTACTTACATCATGCCGAGCTCAACGATACTCATTTTTTCCTACGCCACTGCGTTTAGCGAAAAACTGCGAAGAACGAAAAATTGATTTCAACACAAATTTTAAGCTAAAAACTCCCTCAATGTTCAAGCAATCTAATACAACTCCTTACAATTGTAGCCAACAATAAGTTGATTGTTTAACAGTCTTTCAACTTGAGTCCACTCATATAGTGAAAACCCACGTAAATACGAAAAATGGCGATTTTTACTGGCTTCTTTCTTATTTTTCGTTGATCTTTTCAATCAATTTTCATCAAACTTAACAATTTCTTTCTAAATGTGTCCTCTTTTACATCCCTGGCAGCACACTGACAAATTGAATTTCAAAACTCCAAAATAATTGTGGTCTGAAGTGGGTCTTCAAGTTGTCTGTTTTACTCCTTCATGTCCTCGACTAACTTCGACTGAATAAATACAGACTACTTCTGTTATATTAGTTAAAAATGTTTTTAATGAAAGAACTTTAAAGTAATTGAAGAAGATAGACATTGTTACATCTAAACATGATGTTATTTTCGCACCATTCTAATTGAACGCTTTTTCTGATCGACTAGTATGGCTACTAGGTTTTTTTTTAATATTTTTATAGTCATGAATGTTGACTTACGATAGAAGTAATTCTTTTAAGAATGGATATATATATTTTAAAAATCCACGGCGCAGATTTATATTTTGGTAAATTACAATAGTTGCAGTCTCAAGAATTTTCAATCTACGTAAGTTACTTTCGTTTTTAATAAGTGTAGCATTCTTTAGATCAAAGTCGTGATTGAATTTATTTCTATATATAACTAATGGATTTGATAAATTGTTAAGTATGAGATCCTTCTTATGTTCATAGCTAAGTTGTTTTATATTTCTTCATGTTTCCCCAGTGTATAGTGAAGAGCAGTTAAGGTAATTATTTTTATATATGCACGCTTCAAAATTATTATTGTGGTGTGTATTTTTGGTTCTGATCGTATTCATGATACGCTTCGATATGGTTATAATTATTTTGATATTGTTAAGATTGGATACATTGTTTTGGATAGTAGATATTAATCCTTTGAGCTCTGACCAGCGTTTTACTGATCGACCAGATGGGTATGGATGTTAGTAATGAATATTTGTTTCCTTTTAATGGTGTTTTCGATAAACGAAAAAAAATTATACTATTAATGATAAAGTTAAAAAAAAAGTAACATTTTACAAATTTTTTTCCGAGGTGGTTTTGGGGATGATAGAGAAAAAAGTTACACTGGAGAACTGGCTTGCAAAAGATAAAAAAAAATAAATAAATAAAAAAAAACAATAAAAAAAGGAATAATTAGTTTTAAGGAAAAATAGCGGGGGGGGGGCCCTCATATTTAGGTCAGAAAGATATAGCTGAAATTTCTAGTGCATATGATGAGGAAAGAGGGCTTAGGGAATTTGTGTTATGGAGTAGTTTCACACCGGAGGCTTGTATTTGTACTAAGTCGGTCCTAAAATAGGTTCGACGTACAAAACGTTACGAACTTGATATAACAGTTAATGACGCAGCAATCTAGTTGTGGTGGCTGATACTTTAATGTCCGACATCGACTGACTGACCAACTCACTGAGCGACTCCGCGACTGCTACTACTCGTACTCCTACTTATTATAGGTGGGAGAGTATATTAACTATAGAATAGGTATGTTCCAGTATAACATTCTCACACACACAGGACACATTGAAGGCCACAAAGACAGGAAAAAGCAGTAAATAACCTACCTATTGAGCTTGTCTGAAGGGTTGGCAGATTATTTAAAGCCGAAAAATATTTTTTAGATTGTTATATAATGATTTAGTGATACAAGTCTTACTAATTAACCCATAGCTGGGGTAGAAGAAGTGGATTTATACCCTTTCCAATGGTATTGGCGTATAAATCAATATATTTAACACGACTGGAATTGGAACTCGGCTCTCCGTTTTCCAATTCTGAGCTGCTATCCATTATACCAGCCACACATCTGCAGTACCTCATATTCCCAAGCGGTTACCGATCAAAGTGCTGACCCCAAAACCTGATGAGAGTTTCGTTTTTTATGTAAATTAATTTAAGAGGTACGACGGCTTATAAGGATTAAACTTCGGAGGCTTTGTTTTGACATTAGAATTTTGCAACGATCATTTTCATATATTTTCATCATCCAAAGTGTATGACACAGTGTCCATAACAGAGACGGAAAAGAAAACAACTTAACCTGATACGGAAGGTAACGAAGGAAAGCGAGAAGAAAGGACTAAGTATAAATTACAAATTCCTCAAGGACACGTGGCACAGTGGATAAAGGCGTTGGTTAGATCCAGTGACAGACCCAAAGAAGGTGAGTTCAATACCTGGTTAAGGCAGTGGAGAACTTTCAAAGGGAAAATTAGCAGGAGATAACTCATAACTGACATCCATCAAACATGGCACGTGGAACTAGAACAGTCTACCCCAGTGATCGAAATAAAGGGTTCAGTTCGAAATTCCAACCACCTGAAGAAGGCCGGAGCGTACAACGGCCGAAACGTTGTGACAAATATGGCGACAAAGATGAGGACAATAGTCCGACTAATGTAAATACTGTACAAGGCTCTTCGAATTTAAGCGCAGTGCTAGACTGGCGATGAAGTTTCATTAATGTACAGTTTAGCTGGCTAGATATAGCCGTAAGTTCTATGCTAACAGTTTCTTCTCTCGCATTTCTCACATGTGAAATTCTCTTCCGGCTACACGCATTCCAGCTATCCTAAATCTTCGAAAATTTAAATGCAATGTCAATCGCTATCTACTGTCTTCTTGATTACTCTTTCCTCTTCCCGCTCATTATTAATGTTTCTGTTCCTAAGTCCTCCACACCCTGTAACCCTTTGTGTCTTAGCGGCTTTACTGTTTTGCTTGGAGTCAAATCCATTTAAAAAAAATATCAAAGAGACTTTAAAAATTTTTGACATCCCTTTACTCTAAAGCTCTTTTCATGTCCACATTCAAAATCTATATATGAATATGGTGTACTTGTTATATTATTATTACAAATTAGGATGACTGCTAGACTTTGTCAATTTAAGCGCAGTACCAAACTGGCGTCGAGATCTCACCAATTTACAGTTCAGCTAGCTAATGTAGCCGGCCGTAAGTTCTATGCTAACAGTTTCTTCTCTCGCACTTCTCGCTTGTGGAACTCACTTCCGGAACCATGTTTTCCAGTCAACTTTAATCTTCAAAATCTAAATGCAATGTCAATCGCTATCTATTGTCTTCCTGATTACTTTTCTTTTGTTCTCACTTAGTAATGTTTTTGTTTTCTAATTCTTCCACACCCAGTAGACACCTTGTGTCTCAGTGGCATCAATGCCTTGCCTGGTGTCAACATACTTAAAAGAATGAAATAGGTGAATATAAGCAAAGTAAATATTTTGTCATGATAAACTAAACAATTAACAACTCTAAATTTTAATTATAGGTGTATATCATGTCCACATTTTTACAACCCTTTACTCTAAAGCTCTTTTCATGTCCACATTCAAACTCTATCTATGAATATACTATATTTGTTATATTCTAATATAAAATAATAATAATAATAATAATAATAATATATGAAAAGAATTTTTACAGCCTTTTACTTCAAAGCCTATTTCATGTACATATCATTTCATTTTTTACAGCCCTTTACTCTAAAGCTCTTTTCATGTCCACATTCAAACTCTATGAATACACTATATTTGTTATATTATTATTTAATAATATGATGGTTGCTAGACTTGATGAATTTAAGTGCAGTACCAGCCTGGCGTCGAGATCTCACCAATTTACAGTTGTGCTGGCTAGATGTAGCCGTAAGTTCTATGTTAACAGTTTCTTTTCTCGCACTTCTCGCTTGGGGAACTCCCTTCTGGTTCCATGTTTTCCAGCTAACTTTAATCTGCAAAAATTTAAATGCAATGTCAATCGCTATTTACTCTCCTCCTGATTACTCTTTTCTCTTTCTATTCAATACTAATGTTTCTGTTCCTAATTTCTCCACACCCTGTAACCCGTTTTGTTTTAGTGGCTGTACTTCCTTGCTTAGGATAATACCAATTAAAAATATAGCCGGAAGATTTACCAGCTCTCGTAGGGTCATTGCTATCCACTTCTGGATGGGAAACTCAGCTGAATTAAAACACATCATCCAGCACATTAGAAGCTACAAGGATTGTTTTGAAATGATTTCATTTGAAGCCAAACATGCTATCTGGCCTGAATGGAAAACAACTTGCAGAAATCAGGCAAGAGCTAATTTAAACGTCCATAAGGAATGCGGCTTTTAAGCTAGTTTCTTTATAAAATAACGGTATATAATCTTTTTAGATGTAGCCGTAAGTTCTATGCTAACAGTTTCTTCTTTCGTACTTCTCGCTTGTGGGACTCCTTTCCGGTTCCATGTTTTCCAGCCAACCTTAATCTGCAAAAATTTAAATACAATGTCAATCGCTATCTACTATCCTCCTGATTACTCTTTTCTCTTTCTACTCATCATTATTGTATCTGTTCCTAATTCTTCTACACCCTGTAACCCCTTACGATTTAGTGGTGGAAATAAATATCACTCTCCTCTGTGGTACCTATACAATATGAATTTAAGTGCTGTACTAGATTACTAAATTAGCACAAATATCTTATTTTAGAGTTGAAATGGCTATATGTAACCGGAAGTTCGGTGCTATCGGCTTCTTTTCTCGCACATGTCGCTCGTGGAACTCTCTTCCGGCTTCTTGCTTTCCAGTTAAGTTTGATTTTCAAAAAATTAAATGCAATCCAAGCCGTTATCGTCTATCTTCATAATTCATGTTCTTTTATCAGTCTCGCGTTTTAATAATGATTTTCCCCCTTTTTTCTTATATTTTTAACCTCTTGCGTCTTGGGGGCTTTATTGCCTTACTTGGGGTAAAATGATTAAAAATGATTTAATGCACAGTGATATAATAATTGAAAACTATTTTACAAGTTGTTATTAACAAAACATGCCGTCATTTGTGAAGATGTATTCGGCTTTTTCCCATGTAGTATTTGCCTGTTCCTGATACAGATTAAATGGTGGCGGATCCATCTTATACTGCATTTTTTTTTATAACAGGCATGTTTTGAAAACTTATGTATAGGCTGAGAGCAAGTAAAATAAATTTTGTTGGACTGTCATATAATATCGTTACTCGTAGATGATGTTGAATGATAGGCAATCACTTCATAGAGGAAGAGAAAACTTGAGGCAACGAGGATATGGTTCTACAGGAGGATACTGAGAATACTATGGATGGAGCATGTGAGTAACGACAAAGTTTTAAATAAAATGAACACAAAAAAGACATTTATACTTAGAAAAATTCCAGGGTCACTGATGAATTACAAAAGAGTTTTTGGTTTTGTTTGGTTTGGTTTGGTTTACGGCTTTTCAACCGCAATGGGTTATTTAATGCCGACAAGATTTTTTATTGCTGGTAATATTTTCTATCTATCTATCTATCTATCTATCTATCAGTTTGTTTTGTTTTACGGTATATCAACCTCAATGGGTTATTTAATGCCGACAAGATTTTTATTGTTGGTAATATTTTTTTTCAAAAATGTATTGCTGGTATTAAAAACTATTTTTATACTTTCATTGGGTTTACACTCCTTTTGAGCGGGTTAACTATTTGTTCATAGCTGGGAGCCTGACAGGTGCTACCACCCCGGATCAGGGTGGACCTGGGAACACCAGCAATTAAGATGTGGCTTCACCCTCCTTAGAACCTCCTGATCAAATGTCTTGCTGTTGGATGTAGTTTATCGTCTTACCCAGGACGCGGATATAGATTATCGTCATACCCAAGACGTAAACAATTTCTTCATCGAACACGAAGGAGAAGTATAATGATTTTGAAAGTGCAGCTTAGATGTGACACAGGGCCGAAAGTTTGGAGCATCAAGTCTGGACAAGAAGGAGAACCATTATTTGATTTGGCATAGAACACAATGCAACATAAGGAGATATTCTATTGCTATGGACGCACCAGGCATTACTCCATGACTCTTGAAACGGACATGTCTCCTTTTACCAAAACAACGGAATATCTCATTAATTTGCTAATACATTGTTTTATATTTATTTCTTGTAGTATTAGATTTATTTAAATATTTTTTTTTATTTTTAAGGATTTAAAAAAACAGAATTACTGATGATCATTTCTAGACAGGATGTTGTAATCAAGGGAGGCACATTTGATTTACTTGGCGCTAAAGGGAACCTCTTATCGTCAAATAACATGCCACGGTCGAGTGAATGCATAAATAATAATCCGCCTATATAAATCACAAAGTATGTAGATGTTATTTTTCTGCACTCCCACTCGAAAAGAATATGGTACAAGGTCGGTTTTAAATTGCTAATGTCCCGAGTCTAAAGGATTAGTCAACAAAACTGTCCCGTTGCTAAGGATTTCCCCTTATGGGACACCTCAACCATAAGAAATTGAAACCACCATTTATTCTTTAGTGAGGCACTGCTTGTTGGGGCTGACAGGAGAATGATCCTCCTCGAAATAACGGTCTCAAAAAACTTCCGGTGTCAAAAACGAACATAAAAGTGATTATATATATATATATATATATATATATATATATATATATAGTGGGCACTCGCGTCGTATTCGACGTAGGAGGGTCAAGCAGATTTAATTATAGTGGATAAGGTTTCATGCAGGACCATTCACACTTTTTGAAGGGCCGATTACAGAGACCTGGTGCACTACGTTCCACAAGGTCCCCAAACGATCCTCCGCAGGTTTTGAATTCAGAGTTGTCATTCTCCTAGTCCAGCTGCCATCCAAGGCTATAGAACCCAGTCTATCCTGCTATTTACCCATAGCTGGAGGGAGAAGAATAGGATTAATACCTTTCCGAAGAGTTTTAGCACGTAAGTGAATGTAATGGATTCAACTTCAGCTCTCCGATTCCACAATCCAAGCTGCTATCCATTACTCCACCGCACCACAATATATATATATATATATATATATATATATATATATATATATACATGCGAGCTTGTATATTTTAAAAAGAAGATAAACCGTAAACATTTTGGGTTGAAGTGTGGATTTGTTTGTTTGAAAATATATATTATACTCTGTTTTCCATAATTCTGCTACACACGTTTCTGATTTCGCGACCTTCTAGCAAAGAGTAGATATTCCACATATTATTAAAATGAATTTTTTACGTGGTAGTGATTCAAATGTCTTTCTTGGACTGGTGATAAGCGTTTTTTATATATATATATATATATATATATATATATATATATATAATTCCATATAGTTCTCTTTTAATATTTCGTTCTTTCGCGTGGTACGACGTCCCAGAACTCTATTATGAATTTATGATTGATATTTCGCGACCGTTATCGTCCCATAGCAATCTTCTATGTCAGCATAACAGAATCGACTACTGGATTTGGTCATTATGTGTGTACGCTGTGTGTTTTTTTTTGTGTTGGGTTAGGATCTACTTAGTCCTCGTTTAAATTTGTTCATGAAGTTTTTTTCTTGTATTTGTAGGTAAGAATAATTGTCTGTTTGGTATATTGGCATTGTTTTAAATTTACCTTGATTGCATTTGTAGATGTGTTGTGATACAAAGAGTTTTCTGTTGGCATGTAATTTGATGTTGCTTTTGGGATGGGAAACTCTGTGTTTTAGTGCTTGGATGATACGTATCGTAATGGAAATTTGGGAATCCAAAGTTTCAGGATTGCGGATCTGGATCCGGCTTGGAATGTTTTAAATTTGCTCACGGAGTCGGACTAATTCTAAAATGGCATGATATGTTGGGCCACGGCCTCTAGGAGAAACACGGACAATTTTATTTTGAAACGCTGTTATTTGAGAACAGTATATATTTCACTTGAACATGAGCTTTTGAAAGTTAGTTGCGCCCGTTTAAGTTGAAAAAAGTGTGACAAAGTGGCACACTGACATTCATATATATATATATATATATATATATATATATATATATATATATATATATATATATATATATATATATATATATATCGAGGATGCTGAGAATTAAAAAATAAATTGAATCCAGTCGACTTCATTTCTTTTTCTTTTTCCTTTATAATTTTCTTAGTAGATATCGCACACTGAATAAAAGAAGTTCCGCCGGGAATTCTGAAATGTTGTAAGAGCCAGGGCGTAAATTGAATGTAGCTGGCCTTACGATCAAGACAATCTCTAGATATTTCCGTTGCAGTGAATTGTTTTCTCCTTTGATTAGAGTAGCATTTTTTATGTCAAAATTCTGGTCAGCCTCGTTACGGTGGACACCCCCTCAAAAAAAAAAAAAAAATGAAAATAAATAAATAAAATTTTAAATTCCCAGCACCTCTCGTTCATGAGCATATGTAGTGATGAAAGTTTTTTCTACTTTATCATACATTTTTCTGTAATATTGTTCTTGATAAATAAAAAATATATATCGTTATCTATATATATATATATATATATATATATATATATATATATAGAGAGAGAGAGAGAGAGAGAGAGAGAGAGAAAAAGACAAAGAGAGAGAGAGATGGGTAAATATTCACCATTTCATATTTTTAATTTGTAGCGTTTTTGATTTTGTGTTTGTCTTTTTTACCTCATCTGTAAGAAAAAGAGCACCATGATGCAATTCACTCCTCCAGAAATTTAGAAACGGGATGCTGTACTACTTATTTCAGAGTGTTTGGGTACTTTCGACGGTTCTACTGGTCATCATCAGTCATGGAATCATTTAAAAAAATAAAACATATTTCGATTTGGTTTATATTTTTTCGTCAGGGATGCTACCTGAATTTTACAAAAAATAAAATAGATACCATGCCTGATGATGACCGGACGAACCGTCGAAACTACTTGCGTATTTAAGGAAGACCTAATATACTTTAAAATTTAAAAAAAAACAAGGATCATAACATTCATCGTGTGATTAGTGGGTTAATACATCTTTAAAATTTAGTTAGCGAAGGGATTTCGGCATTTTATATCATTAAATTTAATAATTTACTTTTTGTATGAATGAATCATTGTAATGTGTATATATATATATATATATATATATATATAGCTTTACAAATACAGCGATATATAAGGAAAGTAAAATCTTTACTTACAAACACAGCTTTTATCGTCTGAATGTAATGTCTGGCCTTGGGGACATCGACAAACATAGCCTCCCATCGTATTTTTGCAATGATATTGACAGCCACCATTGTTTACCATGCATTCATCAATGTCTGCAATTAAAGAAAGTTGCAAAATATTTTCTTGGATAATATACAACATTCAGAATAAGATCTTCGGCGTCGAATAAATATTCATGGTCCACTTATTCAATGCACTAACATTAGGAGCCTAAGGTTAAGGACTCCCTACTGAAAATTATTTTCTTTAATATCACCATGTTTGCATGTCAAAAATATGAGTTATTTCACATTAGCACTCTGTGGGTGATTGTTTTCGCCAACCAAAATTTTAGTCCAGCCAATCAAAGTTTAATTTGAATTTCTTGGTTGTGTAGTCATATCCTTCTATGGCAACATCTAGAACAACCTTGACTGAAAATTATTTTAAGAGAGAGAATTTATTAATTTCAACCAACAGTAGCACTGGCTACTCGGCCATTGAATGCCGAATGTTGTCTTAAAAGGAAATGGTTAATATCACTATTACTATTTAAACCAACTTTGTCTATTCCAATGCGTCTTCGGAATTCGGGGTGAACCAGAAAACACTCATAGAATTAGAGAAATGCTTATGAAGTAAATGTCACTGAGGAAACTTAGAAAAGACTTTGACTTTAAAAATGGCAACTGCTTCAAATTTAAATCATGGACGTCAAACGTAATATAGAGCGGATTAGAAAAATAGGGCAAAACTTAGAAAATACTCCTCAATATATATATATATATATATATGAAAAATTTCTCAGAGTTAACCTGACGTAATTTTCAGTTAACAGTATGAAAATAGCATTCTCTAAATTCTTCCAGTTCCTAAGGACATTTAGTTTTGTTATTATTACTTACTTTGTTTAATAAATTCATTTCGTTTTTTGCCTTGAAAAAGTCCACATTGGACGAAACGCGTTGGCAACTATTATAGTTTTTCTATTGTCTTTATATATATATATATATATATATATATATATATATATATATATATATATATATATATATATACGCTTTATTTTAGGATATTGCATCTAAAACGTGAAAATCGCTACACAATTGCAGTCGTGTTTCGATGCGTATAAAACGCATCTCATCAGGCGATTTTAAATTACTTGCGAGTGAACGATTTACTCAAATTTAAAAGCAAAATACAGCGTCTTTTTACGAAAAAGAAAAAAAGAAATGGGTGGGGGTAAACTTAGTTTGAATTTAACGTAGGTCATATTTGATTGGTTGATCTAAGCAATGCCCACAAACCTTATGCTCCCCAACCCTCTTTCATTCACTCACCAGTAATTTACAGTCGCCTGGTGAGATGCGTTTTATGCGCAGCGAAACACGATTACAATTGTGTAGCAATTTTCACGTGTTTTCAATGTAATATTCTAAATTTAAGTTTATTGTTCTACTTTGTATTAAGCCCTCTTTAAATTAAATGCTGTGAATGTTGTAATTGTACTCTATTTGTCCTCATCTTACATATATATATATATATATATATATATATATATATATATATATATAAATTTGTCAAATGGAAAAAGGTTTCATTGAAACTAGATTTGATTACGCGTTTCGCCTTTCTAGGCTTCATCAGATCCAAAAACGAAAGGAAGAAATGTGTGCATTTGTCTGTATGCTTAAACATCTATATCCTGTTTTAACCTTTAACACTATGCATTATTCCCTACTTTCCTTTCCACTGCATTGTTTTTCAAGACTCCTCTACTGCACTACTTAATTTCAGTCATGGAAATTTTCTGTTGCCATAGCAGGATATGACAACACAATTGTATAATTCAAACATGCTATCATCTGAGTCACTTGCAGTAGCAGAATAAATTTTTTGCTTTGCAAGCAAAATTACCTGTTAAAAGTTAAACAAATAAACACAAACAAACATCGCGTTGCAAAGTGCGGCAGTCCCTGGTATACATGCAGGGATGGTGGCGCAGTGTTATGCCAAAACAATCAACAATTGTCATTCAGAGCTGATAAGTACGGGATTTGTGGTAGAGACCCACAGAAACGATTGTCATTCAACTTCCAGTTTGAGAGAAAAGGTGCAAAATGAACAAGAAATGTTAAAGGATATATCCAAGCCGATTACAAAACCTAGGTGACAACACAGGCGCCTGCATAGCATTCAAATATCGCCCAATACTTCTACCATTTTATACTTTTCCAAACAGAACCTGTTTTATTAAAATCGACCAAGAGTTCATAAAGTTATTAACAATTTTAAACAAGGAGTTTCTTTCCACCCCGTCTATTTTATAAGTGTATATAATTCCACATTAAGCAGGTAGATTTATGTTTCGGATACGAAAATGAAGATATATGTATGTATGTATGTATGTATGTATATATATATATATATATATATAATAGCAACGGCGAGAATAGAAACATAAACAATGACATTAATATTTTTTATAAAAATCAAATGGATGAACATTATAAACAAGATGAAAGCAGAATTAAGAATAAAAAAATGCATAATGCAGTTGACAACAGCAAAAAATTAGATTAATTATTTAATTATTAAATTATTAATTATTAATTATTTATTACAAAATAATTAAAACTTCTAACCTTATAGTTAAAAATAATTCACTCTTGGAACAAAATTAAATAGGGTAAATATTATTTACGAATTTAAATGCCCAATAAGGAATTGTATTCCTAATGAATCAAAATTCGTAAATAATTATATAGGCCACACTACAACATGTTTGACACGCAGACTCAATCTACACCTTTCTGACAATAGCTCAATTAGATCTCATTTCAATATTCATGGAGACCTACCAGACACTATTCGCAACATACTTGTTGACAATACTAATATAATACCATCATCTACATGCGAAAAAAAGGCTAAAATAATGGAAACCTTATCAATAAAAACAAAAAGCCAAAACTTAATAATATTAACTTTGAATATGGACACAATATCTTGACCGTGTATTGAAAAAGGAAAACATTTTATAAAACATACATGCAACAAACTATTTCTTATTTAACAGTTAAAATATTTAATCCTTGAAAATGGGTAAATGTATAGAACATTCGGGCATTTTTTACACAATTTATCATCTGAAAAGAAAGAAAATATTAGATCGCATGAGAAATTGTATAAAAACTAAATAAATGCATCTTGTCTGTCTTATTCAATGAAATGTGCATGAAAGAAGGATTGCTGCCTAAATACTAATATATATATATATATATATATATATATATATATATGTCCATACATATATATATATATATACATATGTCCATACATATATATATGTGTATATATATATATATATATACATATGTCCATACATATATATATATATATACATATGTCCATACATATATATATATATATATATACATATGTCCATACATACATATATATATATACATACATATATATATATATATATATATATATATATATATATATATATATATATATATATATATATATATATATATATATATATATATATATATATATATATATATATATATATATATATATATATATATATATATATATATATATATATATATATATATATATATATATATATATATATATATATATATATATATATATATATATATATATAAAATATGTATATATATATATATATATATATATATATATATATGTATATATATATATATATATATATATATATATATATATATATATATATATATATATATATATATATATATATATATATATATATATATATATATATATATATATATATATATATATATATATATATATATATATATATATATATACATATATATATATGGACATATATATATATATATATATACTAAATACAAAATATTTCTAGTTAACAGTTAATATATTTCATTCTTGAAAATGGCTAAATGTATAGCCAAAAGCACTCGGAAAAATATAAAATTTGGAGAGATTTTTTTTATAATTTATCTACTGAAAAGAAAAAAAATGTCTAAGATCATATGAGAAATTATATAAATAACTTAATCAAAGGACCTTGAATGTCATATTTAATGAAGCTTGCATGAAAGAAGGATTTCTGCCTACTGAGCACACATGGGCTCTTGAGAAATATAATCTGGTTGAACAGCATGTGCTTTCCTTAAATAAGGGGTAAATGAGCATTGCTTTTGTTTTAATCATTTCACTCGAAGCAAGGCAATAAAGCCACTGAGACGTATTAACAGAAAAGACACGGGGAAATTATGATACGACGGTGGAAAGTGACTGAAGTCAAGATCTCAGGTCATGCCCAATAACAATGCAGATTTTTCACTGTATTTTATTAAGAATCTTTAAATACATAGAAGAGACACCAGACATGATATGGCAGCAACATTCTGCGCTAACTGTAAAGCTCTTCGTGTCCAAAGGTGCAAATATAATTTATAAATTCATGAATCATTCATACAAAAAACAAATATAGATGTTAAAGATTTAAATGGCGAGAATACATCGTCGCAAACAATATAAATAAGATACACTAACCCTGAACCTGTATATGAATGATATGATCCCTGTTTATAAATTCCAGTTGCATAAGGTCTTTTTTTAGATTTTACAAGCTTTCGTCTGTTCCTACAGACATCATCAGGTATGGAAATAGATTTTGTTCTTGAATTTATATATGTATATATATATATATATATATATATAATTATTTATTCGAAAATTATAACAAAAATAGGTTATAAATGTCGCCTCTAAATGTAGACTTCAATGTTCACTTATATATATATATATATATATATATATATATATATAT